CATAAACCCTTAAGTTAGCTCATTCAGGCATTCATCAAACACCTTGTGGGTGGAGAAATGCCTAAGTTGTAGATCAAGCTTATAATGAGAGATCTAGCATTAAGATCAGCTAACTAAGGAAAGGAGAAGAGAATCTAAGCTTAAACAATCATTAATCTACATCTAAGCACCTTAATCTAGACACCTAAAAGCTTAAAAGAAGACTACTCACTAATCATGCTTAACACACCTAATCTTTTGCAAGAGATGATGTTAAACATGATTAGGAGCTAAGATAAGAAGATGAGATGATAAGAAACAGCCTTAGATTGATTCAATCCTCTAGATATCTCTTAACAAACTCTGTTTTGACTCAAGAGGCAAAGAAAATAAGACAGAATAAAGCTTAAGTCTTGGAAAAAACCCTAAAAAACATATATAATGTTTTTTGCGGACCGGGTCAGCCTAGGACAAACAGGGTACTGACCCAGCTTCAAATGGGTCATGTCTCAAGTGTGCGACATGGTCAGGTGCTTCCCAAGTCGCAGGCCCAAGTCGCACAGCCATAGAAGCAACCTTGTGCGCCATAAATCCCTAAGCCTCAGCAGCATGCCTATCTAGGTGTAAAAGGCGTGTGTTTGTGCTGTTCAGGCTTCCTTCTCTTCAACTCGCACAACCAAGACGCATTCTGGAGATAATATGTGTGCGAGTTGGTCCTCCTTTAGTCCCAAGTCGCATGCCCAAGTCGCACAGCCATAGAAAGCTATTTCAAAGATGTATCCGCACCCGAAATTTTTGGCCGAGAAACTTGAACAGCCGGTATGCGTTTTGACTGAGAAATCCACCCGCGGTACATGAAAATTTCCGAGAAAAAGCTTCCTGCAGAACAAGCTATCGCCGAGAACCTCCAAAAAGCTGTTTTCACCATTTTTAAAGCTTTGATTTCTTTTCTTGGTTTCACCTTTTCAGCTCCAAATAGCTCCAAATACATCTGATAAACACTCCAAACCATCCAAAGATTCATTGGGACCTAATGCAACCCCTAAGCCCTAAAACAGCACCTAAAGGCCTAAAATCCATGAAATAAAACATGATTTGGAATGAATTATACAACCTAAATGATACAAATTATGAACATATCACAGATGATCAAGACTTCCCAACAGCTACAAATGACCATCCAATGACAACAAGAGAGAAGGATGGTATAGTTAAACCCAACCCGAGATATATTCTTTTTGCGGTTAAGAATATACCACAGGATCCAAAAACAATCGCTGAAGCTCTCCGACCACTACAAGAAATCACCTGTTCAACAACGACCATAATCGTTGTTAAATCGTTGTGAAAGAGGGTTTGCAACGATTTAACGATGAATCCGAATTCGTCGTATATTGATCGTCATAACCGCTAATTCGTCGCAAAATCGTCATTAATTAACGAGAAACAAGGAATCGTCGTAAAATCGTCGGGAAACATTCGTCGTAATTTCGATGTAAAGTTAACGACGATTTAACGACGAACATATATTCGTCGGTAATTCGTTGCAAATTCGTGGTCCAAAAATTGTCCTCAAATCGTTGTTACTGTTGATGTCGTCACTAATTCGTCGTTAATATTTCGTTGGTAATTCGTTGTAATTTACAACGATTTAAGGACAAAAATTTATTTGATTATAAAACCCAATTTTTTTTGAAAATAATAATTAAAAATTAAATAAATTAATTTGAAAATAAATATGAAAATAAAATTATTTTAATTAAAAACAAAACAAATTATTTTTATTACAACAAAAAGAAATCATTTATAAGTATCATAACAAATTTCGAAATCTCCAAAATCATCCGCAAGATTGGGAACCGGAGCTTGTGATTGATCCTCTCCACCACTTGTAGATGCTCCTTGAGTACCTGCTTCTTGTGTCGCTGCTCTCCGTGCCGCCATTCTTGCCTCCTTTTCCGCTGCACGTTTTTGACGTTTTGCTCGCAAGGCATTCGCAACATTCGGGATTGAGAGGGCAATGATATCAAAGATGGAGTCATACTCTGAAAGCTCCTCCTGAACTTCCTGATGATATGCGGTTTGAGACTCCTCTAAAGTTGCAATCTTGGCCCATAGAACGATTGGATCATCTTCTGGTCCTCGGCGGCGTGGTGCGAATGACGAAGCAGACGGGACGTCTCTAATCCCATCCCTACAACTTTTCCCTTCTTTTTCGGAGCGACCTACATTTTAAATTAAATTTTATTAGAAATTAAAATATAAAACGTAAATGAATATTAAATTTATTTATTAAATATATACCTCCTCGAAGATTTGATCGATTTCACGAGTAGTCAACCCTACAGATTGAACTGAAGAACCTCCGGGAGATAGCTGGGTCTCGCTCAGCAACCTTTGAAGTAACTTCATTAAAGATCTCCTCGGCTCTCTCAGAAACGAATGCACCATCTTTTTTCCGATGACACTTCTCGAAAACCTTTGTCATTGGCGGGAGTTCGCCTCCATTCTCGGCAGCCTAAAAAAATTATTATAATATAAAAAACCATAAATTAATTATTTCAAAAATATATAAATAATTATTTCAAAAATATATAAATAATTATTTCATACCATCTGCATTCGAACACCCCCAAATGGTGTTTGGCCAGCTGTATGAGTAAAAGCCACTTTCTGACCGTCTGGACCAGTCGCATTGCGGGAATTAGAACACTTTTCTGCAATCTCCTGCGAATGCGGAATTAGCCAGTATCGCACCAAACCCTTCCACACCTCAGGGTCCATGCTAATAGGCTTTGCATCATCACCAATGACTTTCCACAATTTCTTCCAATCAGAAACCGTGCCCATAAGTCGAAGCTTCACTCTCTCGGTAAAGAGCATTTCCACCTCGCTGTGGTCTTTCTCATCCCAGTCATACCGTTGCTACAAAAGAAAACCATATAATTACATATTTGAATAATTAAAACAATTACTTAAATAAACTACAAATTATTTTTAAAAAATCATTTTACCGCAAATATTTTGAACCATGTGTCAATGGTATGCTGAGAAAGCTGGCTGAGATTGCAATGAGGCTCCACAAAATAGGACTTGATAATATCAGAAACCATGCGGCCAACCTTGCTATGAATACCGAACCTAAAATAACAATACAAAAATTTATATAAGTAAGATTAAAAAAAAAATAATTAATAATAATATACATTCGTCCAACTTATCATCATCTTTCCAAAATAGCATGCAATTGTCAACACAGACATCTATCATCTCAGAAGGCAATCCTAGACTATAAATAAGTTTCTGGATCTCATAGTAAGTTCCAGCTGCTAAATTGTCTGCCGGCAAATACTCTTTAATCAGGTTAGCCCAATCATCCATGCAAGTCTCAGCTAAGTTATGATCAGTTTTAATAGTCATTATCCTAACTGCCAGTGATAATTTAAATTGTCCTTCTTTGCATCCATTGTAAAGTGGCTGATTAGCAGCACCTAACATATCATAAAAAATTTTTGCATCTACAATGGGTTCCTCATCATGGACAGGTGCAAATGTATTTGTGGTTTCGTGAAATACATCTGTAACCATGTCTTGAATTTTATCATGATCAAACCTTTGCTGCTCTGCATGATAATATTTATCTTGATGCAAATTGTTTGACGAATCTTCAAAATTTGATGCTTGATAATTGCTATTACTACTACCTGCACTTTCTCCACAGTGGCGGAGGCAGAAATTTTATTCATCGGGGGCAAATAGGAGTATACACAAATTTATAAGTGGGGGCATTAACATAGAGCTTATTAAAATACACCAGTTTTTTAATTTTTGTTGGGGTCAAATGCCCCCATGTTGTTACATGTGGCTCCTCCTCTGTTTCTCCATGACCTTCTCCATGATGATACCATATAAAGTAATGTGGCATAAATCATCTATTTAATATATGCGACCACACTTTCGTGATAGTGATAAATTTTCTATTCATGCATTTAGGACAAGGACAATACATCATACGACTGGTTATCGTTCTTGGGAGTTTTCCCGCCTCATGCATGAATCCCTCTACCCCCTCACTGAATTCTTTTGTCAACGATCCCGTTGAATCAATACGATTGTACATCCATTTCCGAATTTCGTATATGGACGACATTTTGTATATTTAATATTCACTACCAATAGTGAATATTTTTAAAACTTATACTTGTTCCCAATTAAGTGATCAATTCAATCACTTTTATTTGGGAGCATTGTGATTTTTGGGGTTATGGGATGGCACTATATATAGATTTTTTTTTAGGTTACCATCGAATTAACAACGTTATTTAACAACGAATTAACGACGAAAATTTGGTTACCGACAAATTCACGACGCAAATAAGAATCTGGTATAAACGTGTTTGACCTAACTATTATTTTGTCGTGAAATCATCGTTAATGGCCAAGGAAAAAATTTCGTCGTTAAATCCTTGCTGAGTTACAACGATTTGACGTCGATTCTCAGAATCGTCGCGAAATCGTCGTTAATTAACGACGAATTTATTTCGTCGCAAATTAACGACGATTTGGCGACGATTCTGAAGATCGACGTTAAATCGTCGTTTATTCGAAGGGAATTTACAACGATTTTATATCGTCGTTAAATTTCGTTGTAAATCTACTGATTTCTTGTAGTGGACAGCTGGTTGTGAGGAAGAAATGGGAACTTGTCATGAAACCAAACATGGAGTTTAGTTCCCAAACTGCCAAATACCAATCTCCTTGGCTGCAAGTGGGTTTTTAAAACCAAACTGAATGCAGACGGCACTTTAGAGAAGTTGAGAGCGAGGTTGGTGGCTAAGGGATATGAACAAGAGGAAGGCGTAAATATTTTTGGAAACTTACAGCCCGGTGGTTCGTACAGCCACAATAAGAACAGTTCTACATCTGGCTGTTGTGGAAAGTTGGGATATCAAGCAGCTGGATGTGAAGAATGCATTTCTTCATGGTGACTTGTTGGAAACAGTTTATATGAAACAGCCACCAGGGTTTGAAGATAAAACTCATCCCCACTATGTTTGTAAACTTCATACAGCCATATATGGGTTAAAACAAAACCCAAGGGCCTGGTTTGATAAATTCAGTTCACATCTGATTGAATTTGGCTCTCCTACAGGTCTCTTCTTAAATCAGTCTAAATACGTTACTGATCTTCTTACGATTGCATGAATGTTAGACTGTGCTCCCATGCCCACTCCGTTGCCATTGCAACTGCATCGTGTCCCTCATCAAGACCAGGACTTCTCTGATCCTACATATTTTCGAAGCCTAGCTGGGAAGCTGCAATACCTCACACGGGCAGACATTTCAATTCACCGTTAATTATGTGTGTCAGAAGATGCACAAGCCTGCAGTGTCTGATTTCTCACTTCTAAAAAGGATTCTCCGCTACTTGAAGGGTACCTTGCAGATGGGTCTTCACTTCAATTCGGACACTGATTCCACTCTTCGTGCGTACTGTGATAGCGACTCGGCAGGATGTAAAGACACTAGAAGGTCCAGTGGTGGTTTCTGCATCTCTCTTGGATCAAATCTCATTTTATGGTCTGCAAAAAGACAGCCCACAGTGTCACGATCCTTCACCGAGGCAGAGTATCGAACTCTATCTCACACTGCTATAGAACTCTCCTCGATAGCCGCCCTTCTTTCACAGCTTCCTTAACAAGACGACGACTTATTGTGCTTACAGGAAAGCACTCCTGCAAAATCACAGCCTCTTAGTAAAACCCTCATTAATTTTCCCTACTGCTCTTATTTGGGCATTGTTCAATCTAGTTAAAGTGTGTGGAATGGCGGACAAAGCAATTTGACCAGTGGGGTTTCGTACTTTCAATAGTTTCTGAAAAAACCCAATAGCATCACTTGTTCCAAACACCTAAAATTATATGAGCACACTTTGAATTTAACTTTCTGGTGTGACCATTCACAGCAACGAATAACTCGCAAGATTTCAGAATTACTAGCTAATTCAAGTCAAGTTTAATGTCTGGAATTGCCAATGTATGAAGCTAGGTTCATTACCTTCTTAACATGTCGAAAGGATCATTACCTTCTTGAATTGGCGACCACCAAAACCCCTAGAAACCTCAAGACGCCCTTGTAACCGTCCATTTGAGCTTACAACACCACCTGACTGCGAAATTCATACCTTGTTATTAGCAGAGCATGGTGTATTCTCAAATCTATTGATAAATCACTGTCTGCCTCCAATTAATTGGAAAATCACTATCTGCCTCATAGACTAACCTTTTAAATGCGAGAACACTCCTGCGGTTAAATTGCTTTGTGCTCTCTTGTCCGTAGAAATGCTTTGAGTGGATTACATGATTCTGTATTACTTTCTTATATCCGTTTTGTTATGCTCACATGAACATGTGATTTAAACAAGATCAAGACATTAGAATGTAGCCTAAACCCATCCCTAAGATTCCTAAGAAATGATTCATTCACTATATTGTCCACCAAGCGAATGCTCAAAATCTCAAGCTGCAGATAACTTTCCAGGAGTAGTTGTATAATTTGGAGACATATAATCCGAACGACAAACCAAGCAATTCTCCAAACGAGCAGCCTGTAATGCCTTGCCTGCTGCAGATTTTCAATTAAAACATTCGTATAACTCAATTTCTCTGTAGATTTCAGAGATTTAACTCAAGTGATCCAAATAGCTACAGATTCAACATAAGAAAAATAAGGCTAACGAATCTAACGCTATAATGAAAACACTAGCCCAGATCGGATAGAACTTACAAAGTGTTCTGAATCTAAAAGCTCAACACTCTTTATAAGAGATATTGAAGAATGAAAAAAGAAATTCTTAGGAAACCCAGAAATTTGAGAAAAATGAACTATAGAATTGGGTTAGGGTAACCGAGAAATTTGAAAAGAGAGATACGGAATGAAAAACACGATGGCTTAATTCATGAACTTGACATATTTTCCCTGGAAATATAGAACTGGGTTAGGGTAATCCTGAGTAAGAGAATTATTTTTGTGTTCGACGGGGAAGTCTTTGATGAAGGATTTTATGGAGAAATTATGTGACTGTCCGCGCAAGTGCGGAATTTATACTTTTAGAAGTTATATAATATAATTTTATATCTGAGATTATGCATAATTTATGTATTTATATATACATTGAACGAAAGAATGTTTATGCAAATTTAAAAGAAATTCTAAGATAATTCCTAAAATTTAAATGATATACAATTCATTATATATATTTGAAAATTTCTCGATATATATTAAACCTTAATAGAAGTTTAACATAAATAGAGACTCTTGATGGTGATGTTTTATTTATAAGTGTATTGAATTTTTATAGGCTTTCTATTATTGATTTTCATAATTATTATATTATAATTATAACAAAACATGACATATATATTCAACTAAATTAGCGGTGGTAAACATGACCGTTATTTTTCAAAACATTGCAAAAAGTACTATTGGTTATCGTAACGGTGGTTTTCACTTTAAAGTAATACCCATTTGTTACTCGTAATCCGATTCTATTCATTGTTGAGAATAACTGCATCTATTTTTGAAAAAAATGTCTCCTTGCACGATGATTTCTGATTTAGGTATAACATCTGATCGATCTTCTATCTGTGTTCAAATTATCAAGAGTGTCGAGGAAAGTCTAGGTGTTCACGGTATTCAGAGATCGTTTAAATTCGCAGACGAACATGTAAGTATAACTTCAAAAATAACATACTGTCTGAATCTTAATATATTATCAATACCATCATTATTTTTTAACTGAAAATCTAGGGTGATCGAATACGTGCATCGATTCCGAATCGTTTAGTAGACCGTTATGAAGGCATGATGTGTGATAAAGATTGGTACTTCATTGGTAACTTCAAAATTACTTCACACACGGGAACTTTGAGGATTACAGTCAATGGTCTCCATATCTGTATCGATGAGGATACTCATGTTGAGAAGACATCGCCTAAATCAGATGACCAGTTGTATTCATTTGCTAATTTTAGAAGAGTCCTTGACGAATCTCTGATGGAAAACATAGACGTTGGTATGTTTTCTTAGTATTTTATTATACTCAATTAGATTAATTAATACTCTACTGAACTATATGGATATATTGTTTTATGCTAGTTGATTTGATCAGAGGTATTATCAAAGTTTGTCAATTGGAACGTCAAGACCAATTTTGGATCGGAAATCAGAGAATCAACTCAAGTGTTCTAAAATTTACAATTAGAGATTTCGAGTAAGAATCCATTGATACAAAGACTAATACATATATAAATCTTTACTATCATATTCTCAATGTTAAGGAAAATGATATATTAATTCTGGTTTTTAGGGGTGTCGACATCAATTGCATAGCGTGGGGAAGAGATGCTGAACATTTTGAATCCTTATGGAAAAACACTCCTCGTCGCAAAATCGTTTTCTGTGTATTGAGATTTTGGGAGATGTGTCGATATGGAGGTTATTTCTCATTCTGTCGACCAACCATATATCAATTTATATTTATATCAATTGTAGCTAATATAATTTTCCATATTGTACAGATGAAATACGTGTTTGTTCTGGTCGAGAATTCTCTGAAATATTGTTCGATCCTTCAATTCTTGAAGTCGAAAATTCTCATTTTATGTAAGCATTGTTCACCGTTATCATCTTGTAAATTTTCTAAACAAAATTTTTGAATATTCGACTCATTATTTATCTTGTTCTTGCAGGCTTGACTACACAGATGATTTTAACAACATTGAAGATGGCTACTTTTTTGATCACTCACCTATTTTTCCTAGCCATTGAATCTATCAATTTCATTTGATGTTTTCATTTATTTTGTTTGACAATTCTGTTTGACTTTTTTCTCATTATTCTGAATTTTAAAACTCTTTAATTAGATGAAAGAATTATTATACGTAATAAAATTAGAAAATATTAAGATAACACATTAACAATATGAGTGATATTGAAAACATTATTAATTACTAATAAATTTAGTAGATTAGGGCAATAAGATATCAGCTGCATCCAAATAATTCAACCTCTTCCAAATCCTGAATTGATCTTGTTCCAAATCCTGAAATATTGATTTTAAAGGTATATCAATCAACCTACTTATTTATTATCCTGAAGTATTGTTGTTCCTTTAATTCAAATATAAATATAATCAATAAAACTACTTACTTGGATTTTAAAATGGATACTTGATTGATATCTTGAACAACGTCAAAACGGGATAAACCATGTTCTTCATGATCTTGGATAATCACGTTCTCTAAAAACGTACATAATTTGATTCGTTTTAGTTTATAAAACATTAACTATATATAAAAAAAAATCGTAGCATCAGAACACATACCCCGATTAATTAGGATGCACCAATCCGTTAGAACACAAATAGTAAAAGGTCCTTTAGACTTCACACACTTTTTATTTATCTCAAATGCTAACGCACCATGCGCAATACACTCAAGCATTACATCCCTATGTTTTGACAAACAAATTTATTAAGAACTAATTAAATATAAAAATTATAGGTAAATTGACTTACTCATCGTCTATGATACGAAACCGAATTGATGCCCTCGTCGTACCATCTGGATAAGTGATAGTAAAGTACCTAGCATCTTCGACCAATCCTATCAAATCTGAGTTTACAATTAAACTAAATTAAAACGATAAATTAAAACAATTAATTTTCTTTTATATTTCGAAATTAAAATCAAACTCACCAATCAAATAATAATGCTCACTTGGGTACTCATAAATTGATAATAAAGAGATAAAATTATGGAATGAATTGTTAGTTACCGGTAGAACCGGTAAAAGGATAGCATTTTTCGTTAAAGTAATAACATAATCATGTTTCGTAATATTTACGACAGTTCTCCAATTATAAGGATTCAAAAGAAATCCAGATAACATGATCCATTGTTCTTTTATACAATTCCGATCGAAATAGTCCATCATTTGATTATTTGCCCGAATATGTATTCTAGAACCCTACATCAATATACAAACAAATCAAAATATCGTAATCAGAATAATAATAATACTTGTATATATATATATACATAAAAATATCACGAAATATAATTAAAATACCTGTTCGTCGACAACAATCAAATTTAAGCTTCTCTTGCTACACGAACAACCCACCTTCCATTTTTTCAATATTTTTACCACAATTTTCCAATCAGATCTCCGTGAGCTCAGTGTTTGAACGAAATCATAATTTGCCATCACTCAATGTTAATCTTTCTTGAAGACCGTGAACAAATCAACAAAGTACACACATATATATATATGCATAAATCAACATAAAAAGTATATTCGCAAAATGTAAATATTCCGAATATTACTCATTAAATATTTGTAAATATCTTCAAAAACAAATCACAATCCAAACTAAATGTAAATTTTCCATTACGTCATAAATTAAATTTCAAAACTTGCTTAACTAATTTGTCTTAAGATTTGACCACAAAAGGAAAAAGAATAAAATCAATAAAATCATTAATTTATGTACGTAATAAAGAGTCTATTTTGATATTTCTCATAGAATAATATAAATTGTTATTTTTGTAAGTATCAATATCTTCTTGGAAAATGTAATAATAAGTAGAAGACTTTCATACTTTATGAGAAAAGTGAATAACTTTTACTTTATGAACATGGTCTGTAACTTATACAAAAATACTGAAGTGGGATTATCTATGATAGAATAAAGTTTTATTTAGAAAGCAAATTACAATATATATATATATATATATTTATTTATCTATTGTTTTTGTAATTCAGATTTTCTGTGTTATAATATATATCACGATAAAGTATTGTTTGTAGTTTTGATTGCATTAAATTATATAATGAGATATCAGTTAAAGTCAAAGACTCAAAGTCGTTGTGTAACCACTAAATAGTATTTCTCCCAAAAACATTGAAACTTGAATATATTTACAAACCCAAAGGTCTTCAAAACGTCTCCGCTTTTACCATTCTTTATTACCAAACCAAACAAACAAACAAGAAAAAATGGAGAACAAAGAACAAAAGAAATACGATGAAAATGGACTTCTCGTAATCACACCAGCACAATTGAGAATGCGTTTCGGTGAGGATGAACCTAAGTCACCACCTATGCCATCTGATCGGGAGATCGAACTAAATATGATTTGGGAAGAAATGGAATCGCAAAGCCAACCAATTGAAAAAGTCACACCGACTATCAAAGAAGTAAGTTATACTTTCATTCATATTTAATTATTAATATATTTTCGATTAGAGATCCATGATTTTAGAATGTATAACAATTTTTTTTGTTTGTAATATCTCTCTATAGACTGATAATAAGATATCAACTGATGAATCTCCAAAATCACGCTGTAAAAAAGGGAAATATGGACTGTGGCTAGATCTCGAAATAGGTTTAAAATGCATAAATTGTGGATTCGTTGAGACAAAGATCAGGCATATGAATACAGCGGAATGGGTAATCAGTTAAATTTTTCAATAAATTATAGAAAACTTTTAGGAAATTACTTGATATAACCGTTATTTTTATATTTTTCGTCTTGTAGTCAGAGAAGAAGGTGAAGAATGGGAAGAGGAACAGAAAGTTGAGAATATAGTTGATGGTGAACTATATTTTCTTTGAAATTTTCTTGCTACTATATTTTATTTTATGGTTAGCACTTAAAAAACTTTGAATGGCCATATTTATGTAATATTTTTGACTTCTCTCCTTTATGGTATTTGATGATATATTATTTGATGATATTATTATATGCTTATTATGATATATATAAAATCAATAAATTCATTAAATAAAAAGTGAATCAGTAAATATATAGTGAATTATTTTTGTATCTAAATCTAATCCAACCTTAAAATATAACTCATAGATGATAAATTTTTCTTTTTGTTAAGCAAGAATCAAATAAATACTAATCGAGTTTTAAAACAACAATAAAACAGAGAAAAGCAATGCCACAAAAACAACAAAGCGACTAAATATTATCAAAGACATCCTTGTATACAACGTTTAATGTCTTCCTTTGAGGCTTTTTGTCTTTGTCCGTGATTAAGATTTTTATTCCTGATTTGGATGTTACCCGCGAAACAGCAACATACAGTTGACCATGTGTAAAGACTGGTTTAGGCAGATACAATCCAACTTTAGCAAGTGTCTGACCCTGACTCTTGTTTATCGTCATCGCAAAAGCAAGGGTAATTGGAAACTGTTTGCGCCTCATTCTGAAAGGAAATTTAGTCTCTGTCGGAGATAAAAATATCCTAGGAATAAGAACTTTCTCTCCTATTTTGTCACCAGTTATTATTATAGCCTCTAGGACATAATTGGCCATCTGAGTAATAAGTAACCTAGTTCCATTACACAAACCATTCCTAGGATCAATATTCCTCAGCAACATAACAGGAGATCCAGCTCTTAAATGCAAACAATGGTTGGGTAAAGCAGAAACTTTGTCACTGTTTAGAAACTCTTCTGTATATATCATATTACCCGGATCGTTTTTGCTGTCTGAGCGAACACTCTGAGAGGGAATTTCAGATGCATCATCCGTATCAATTTCTCTATCAGAAGGATCAATACTATCACAACTTAGATAGGTTCGTTCCTCATTCCTTGGACTCAAAATAGCCTTATCCTGAAAGAACTTAGGATCAGTCTTTTTGTGAAAATCCTGTCCATAAACTTCATCAACAATAGCTTTAATCGGATTCTCACAATCATGAATCAATAGTTCACTCGGAATATCGATCTCGCTTTCCTCGCTATCACTCGGATTTATTTTTCCTTCTCCAATATCAAGAATCCACCTTGTAAAAGATGCTAGCTCACACATCTCACGACTGTTGTCTCCAGGGATTAGTCGCATGTTACGTGTAAGCCTCAACACTTTACATCCAAACCAAAGGGGAGATGAATTTAAAGTAGCCATAAGAATCTCTGTTTTGCCTGCGTTTGGAATAACAAGAAAAATTTGCCTGAAATCTCCACCAAAAACGATAACTTTACCACCAAAAGGCTTGTCACATTTTAATATATCTCTCAAGGTTCTATCCAATGTCTCGTAACAATCCCTACTCATCATTAATGCTTCATCCCATATTATCAGTTTAGATGCATCGATCAGTTCTGCAAGGTTTGATTGAGATTTGATTGCACACGTCGTAAAACGATTAACAACAATTGGAATTGCAAATCTCGAATGGGCCGTTCGACCTCCTTGCAATAACAAAGCAGCAATTCCACTTGATGCAACATTCAGAACAATATCACCTTTTAAACGTAACGCGGCTCCTAATAAGCTCCATAGATACGTTTTTCCGGTACCACCAGAACCATAAACAAAAAACCTTCCGCCAGAGCCTGAATAAACAGCTTCTAGAATCTCATCATAGATAAGTCGTTGTTCATCAGTTATCGTGGCAAACAACTCATCATGTCTAACTCGCAAATAATCTCGATCATAACTTTTGTCATCACGAATAAGAGGATTACCGCGTATAGTCATATCCAAATCATCTGGATACGGCATACATGAAAAATCTGTAAGAGAACTTCCAGCAGTACGCAGAAGCATCTCTATCTCAGCTAAGCAAAGGTTTTTAACCTGCTCAGTAGACAGCCTAAGATCTGCAAATCAGTAACCCAAACAGAAAGATGAATATATAGCATATCACGTAAAATAGTTAAACAAATAATTATTTTAGTATTGATTAAAAAACTGACCTGGTTTTTTTTTGAATTTTTCTTTGAGTATATAACACGTCTTGGGATAAAATATCCCAAGTAGCATCCCAAACTCTCGAAGGCATAGAAACACTTCTTGTAGTCGGCAACTACAAACAACCTACGCATAGTTATTGCACTAACCCATAAACTTGCATCTTTTATAGCCTCAATGTATTCTTTGTCGTCATCGAGTAACCCAAGGACAAAGCAAACTTCTTTGAATGTATCATAATGATGCCCTTTAACCGTTCTTATATCTTCGAAACACGTTGGACCTATAACTATATTGAGCAAGAGCCTCAAATAATAAGCCTCTCCTACAGACATATGAACATAGGTGATCCTACCAATAGTTTTTCCTTTCTTCCTTGGTTTCCATTTCCTTAACTTTGTATCAAAAACAAATTTATGTGGAAACTCTACGTAAGTTAAAGACCTACCTTCTTCATACTCTTTAGTACATTCCATCCAAGCCATGAATTTGGACATACCAACGGTAGCACGTTCAACCACTTCTTCAGCAGGATCATCTTCATTGTATATAATTAATTGCTGATTCGGCAGATGAAACGGGAGTTTTGTCACAGAAACTGTACGACTATGTGTATCATAACCCTCGATCCTCCATATAGACTCGCCAGGTGATATATACCTAAACACAACATACAGTAAATATCAATGATGGTATTGAAGACTTCATTGATAAGATAAATAATGAAAATTGCAAGAAACATACCTACAGTTGAAATGCTTCTTAACTTCATCATCTTCGTCATCTTTGCCTACTACTGCGCGAACATAATCAGCTCCTTTATGAATATATTTAAAAAGATACTTGACAGAACGCGATTGTATACACCATTCCACATTAATATGAGCTCGATATCGAATAGAAAGTTCTCTGTTATACGGAACCACATAACCAATGTCACAATTGAATCCTTTCCTCGTTACAAATCTCTTGTCTTCACGTCTCCTGTATATCGGGTATCCAACATCTTCAACTTTAGTAACAGGACTAAATGCCTTTGGAAAAAATTTGGTACATCTACCATCAGCCATACAAACACTATCCCTATCCAAAGCACCACATGGTCCGTGCATCATCACATCACCAATAATTTCATATAGATGAGGATCAGTTTCCTTATCAGGAATCTCAGCACATATAATCTTGTCGATATCATCACCAGTTGGTAGTTTGTCTTCGGGCCTCAAAAAAAGAACGATATGAGCATGAGGAAGTCCTCTCTTCTGGAACTCTATTGTATATATTGCTATCATAAAACACGTAAAAACATAAAAAATAAATTAGTTATCAAAAATCATATGCTAATATCATCAATATAGATTTACATTTAAATAGAGCGTACCAGCATTTACAACTCCCAAGACATTTTTTTAGTTAGCTCGTACATGAGATCATCAAGTTTCATTTTGAATACTCGAGCGCATATGTCTGGTCTATCTTCTGCTTTCAAATTATGTCTTTGTAAATGCCTAGTAATATCAGGCCATTTTGGATTACACGTGAACGTGATGAACAAATCTGGAAATCCAAAATGTTTGCACGTGGCCAAAGCATCCAGATAATGTTGAAGCATATATCTTGTACCACCAGTAAAAGAAGCAGGAATGAAAATTCTTCTACCTTTCTCAGAAAGATCAGAATTTCCTTTATCAGCGGCATCCTTTATACTATCGAAAGTCTCGGATCGAAGTTTTTGTTGATTCATTGATATGAAGCGAAGTCTATTCGTCTCGATCATCGTGAACGCGTCAACCAAAAACTGTTGGTACAATCTTCCGGACATTACAATTGTTGGAGATTCTCCAAACCTCTCTTGAAACCGAAAAGCAAAGAACTCTCTCATAGTAATCGTCAAACGTTTCTTCCCCTTCTTATCTACATATCCAATATCTATACCAAGTCTAAATCCATCTTCACCATATGGAAACAACAATGGATATTGTAAAGGCAAATAAGCAGGATGCAATTCACTGATTCTCTTCAATCTTCCAGACCTACTTTCAATAACTATATCTCGTGTTTCGATTCCAACATCGAAATCATTAGGTACCAACGCAGCAACTTCTTTTGCAGTTGGAAAATTAGTAGTACGTCCATCTGATGTTCTATCATATTCCAGTTTTAACCATAAACCACTGGTATCCCCAAGACTTCCAAACTTATCTCGTACCGTCCTGAAAGCTTTGACGTGACGATTATGTCTATCCAACATTTTTTAAGTGTTTTAACAACCAATTCTCTTAATGCTGAAGTGGAACCAACCGTCCTTTATCACCAAAAACAAACGAATCAAAATAACAATTCGTTAGAACTTTTTATATCTTAAAAAACCAAAAAACAGCAGTAAAAAAACAAACATAATTTTTTCTTACCCATATGCAGAAATTCTGTTGGATGTTTCATTTGCGGTGTCATGTATGTAAAGCTGAAGGAATGCTGGATTTGCACCAGGAGCCGGTATCATATCATCTATTGAGTGATAGTTCTCACCACATAGCTGGAAAACATATGGCCCTTTTCCATCGTTGATTGAGTTGGTAACTTTTCCTCCAAGCGAAGTAAAAGAAAACATCATGTTATATGCACGGATATGGTCACGAAAATGAGACCTTTTATCACCAACATTGTATAAATACGATAATAGAGATTGTGGTGGAGCCCTAATCAAGGGAAGAACAACTTTGCCTTGCATGCAGCATTTTGAAAACTTGGGTTTAGCTCGTGTAGCCCTTTTCACCAACCTTTCTCCATACCACATATAAGCTTTGCAAAACTCACATATATAAATAGGATCACCATCATCATAATAACCTAAAAAAAAGATTTTATTATGTAATAATAAAAATTTAAGAACTAAATTACAAAAACCAATATAAAACGTTAATTAATAAAACTAAAATAATACCCTTAACATCTAATCCCGGTTTTACAATTGAGAATATGTCTGTCCGAACAATTGGTTCATCTGCGGTAGCAACACCATTATTGGTTGCCCTTTTTCTTTTCCTCGACGTAGAACTTTTTTTATTAATAGGAGAAATATCGGTATTCTCTCCTTGTGGCACGACAATATCAGCCAATTGCTCTTCTGAATCGCTATCTTCATCGTTTTCTCTTTCAGAATCAGAATCAGTAGCTATAAAGCAAGCAAACTCGGCACTATTGTAAGAATCAAACAAGGAATCTACACAGAAGATCATAGATAACAAAAGTTTAATACAACTATTAATTTGTTGATAATTAATTTGATAAAACAAAATATATAATTCAGAACAAATTATAAATCAAACCAATATCTTGTTTTAAGGCTTTCTTATCTCTCATAATAATCTTTCTTCTCTTCCTCGCAGCACGGCAACCTTCCAAGGATAAATCTCTCTCATCAACGTAGGATTGACCAATCCCTCGACCAGTTTGGTAACTATCACCAGCTTTGGTTGGGGCATATATTTCGTTTCTTGCACTCCAATCTATGTTAATTAAATAATTACAATTTTAGATATTTTTCCATACCAATAAACATGTGACATCGACCATAACTCACTTTTTTTGGATACAGATGAAGAAACCATGAAGTCAGCATCATCAGACCTAGCTTTGCGCTTCATTCTGATTTTTTATAACAGAAGTACACAAAAATTGTTTATCAATGTATATATATATATATATATAAATACATATATATACATATATATCATTATATTATATAGTATACATTTATGTTAACTAACTTAGATTTTTTTTTATATTTTCTGTATAACCGAAAATATTTATAGATTAATGATTCAGAATCTGTGCTAATCCTAAATATTTTCTAAAATAAGATTTTTTTTTTCCATTTGCCGAACAATGTACATTTTTGATACATCCTATAAAACTCCATATTTTCCAATTCTCAATATTTTATATTAAGATCGATCGTAAGGTGATGCATTATATATTTTCTTTTCTCGATTATAATACTAAAAAAAAAACGTTTGGTAATGTGTAAAAGTATTAAATATGAGAATATATATTTGTAAAGCATCAAAGAGTTTTCAACGGTTTAGCATATTCTTTAGTTTATTTTATCACATTAAACAATTTATATATATATTATTTCCTTTTCTAAACATAACTTATTAGCTTATATTGTTCATAAGATAAATAAAACTCGTTAGCTTAGCCATATAATAAATATGATTCATATTAATAATTCCCGAAAGATACAACTATAAAAAAAATGAACTATTCCACGATATAAATGGATCAGTGTTTATAACACAAACTTCATATGAAAAAAAAAGTTTGACGAAATTCATCAAATCAAAGACAATTCTTTGCATGCATCTTTGAATGTAGGATAAACAACACCTTCAACAGTCCTGATATCTTCATAAGAACGTGGTCCTCTCACGACATCCAACAAAAGACGCAGGTAGTAAAGCTCACCATCATCAACGCTACAACGATCAACCATAAACCTACTTAACGTAGAACGAATACGTGGCTTCCAAAGTTTTCGTATACGATCCCAAACAAAGTCTTTTGGTATTTCAGAGTATAACAGCTCTCGGGCATTAGGAGAGTCCTGGTTACACACCATCCAAGCTGAAAACTTAGTTTTTGTTTCTGAAACTGGTAAATCTAGGTCATATGAGAAAACGTTCTTTGAGGGAGGTAAATGAAAAGGTAGAATCTCCACTTTGCCTCTTCCATGAACATCATTGTCTATTAGAAATCCACAAAAATAAGAAAGAAACTCTCATATACCAAGAAAAAGTCGTCATCTCAGATTCTCAATGTGAAGAATAACAAATAAAGATTTGAGAGAATTGTGTGATGACTAAAAATAGGCTACAAATTAAACGAAATAAGAATAAAAAACCTGGAAACTCCATTAGAAGAGACGCAACGAAACAATAGACCTAGGACGATGAATTAACCTAATGGACATGAATACATATACACATATATATATATATAATGTTACAAATTTAGGGTTTTAGTACTTTAAACATTTTTAATTATATAAATATTCAATTTTAACATTTTTGATTATATAGATAATATTAATGCCTAAACCGCATGTAAACGATAAACGATTCCCATAAGCCATATATTCTGTAAAGAGATAATCATTACCGAAAATGTAATAATAATAAGTAGTTTACAATACTCGATTAACAGATATTAATATACTAAATTATTAATAAATTATTAATAAATTATTAATAAATTATTAATATTAATATTTTGTATTATTAGAATATAGGTATATCAACAAAAGACTGACCGAAAATATTCTATCTAGGCTGTCATAATACCAACAATATTCTATCTAGGCTGTCATAATACCAACAAAACCATAAACGCTTTTTAGAAAATGTTCTCTACAAAAAAATTTATTTTGGGGAAGCTATTCTATGTTAAAATTTTTACAATTTATTGAATATATACACACCAGAATAAACAATATACCAGAAAAATAAAGGACTAAATCGAGGAAATACAGTATATGAAAACCAAATAATTTTTTTTCGAAATTAGAATAACTGTCACATTCAGTATATCAGTCATTAAATAACAAATTTTAGTTTATCATATATAACATCTAAATATATATATATATATTACATAAAATCATAATATTAGTTAATATTTTAAATTTATGTTTTCGATAAGTTTATTGTATATTGGAGATATACATCTACCAAATATTATAGATATACATATATCAAAAACTATAGATATCCATCAATTCAAATCTATCAGAAGTTGTCAGATATTTTTTCAAAAACGCAATGAATACTTAGCCCTTTGAGTAGACTATAGTTTACAAATCAACTTTTCAAATCACCATAAATCACCAAAAAAGATGAAAACACTACAAAACCATTGATACACGGATTTATTCTAGACACTAAAGACAATGTAACAATATCATTAATAACATTCATAACATTCATAATATAAATAAGACATAATCATTCATAACATTGATAATATAAATAAGACATAATGCAGTATGCATAGAGTCAAACCGAAATTGTAGATTAGACAACAACCGATATCACTTAATAAGTATCATAATATAATATTTTTACAAACATTAAAAAGAAAGATAAGGAATTGACATTCCATCGATGGTGCATTAGTTAAGGCGGTATCGCCTACAAAAAAAAAATCGATATGTTAGATCAATATATCTAAAATCAACTAACAAAATATGTCAATAAAGAAAAATTAAATTTAATATTTACTTAGCCCTGAAATCGTCAATCTCGTCATCAACAGGATTACACAGAAAATCAGAGCAAGGAGGGTAAGAGCACAGGACAACTGAATTCTTATCAACACCTATCATTAATTTTACGAATCAGAATTAGAAGAATGCAAGATTAGCTATTCTAAAATACTAAAAAAGGAATAAAAACCTACCTTGACCATTAGTCATCTTCCAAAACCTCAGCACAAACACCACTGATTCACTTTGATTACGTTGATAAACACTATGCAGATTCTTAGCCAAATTCCCACGGGCGATACATGGCAATACACAATCTCTCCTAATTGATTAAAATAGAACAAAAAGGTTCTTCCAGTTTAGATGTCATAAAACCAAAACGATACATTGTTTTTTTTTTTTTGCATAAATTGAATATAAACTCATAGATCTTACCCTGCATCAAGAAGTTCGAATCGAACATATGTTGCATTATCCTCATAAGCACCGCTGTTGATCTCACAGAGATCACCCATCTTCAACACGGATCCCATTACATCTATATCGGATACAAAAAAAGTGATATTAACAAAACGATATATTATACTAAAATTGTCACAAAACTAACAAATGGTTACCAATATTACCAATTAAAAACCCAAAATCTAATCCGCGAGTCACGATATCAAAGAAGCGTGTGCAATTGAGACGCAAGTGTAGATTATGGGTTACAAGAGAGATAGGAATCACGACCGTATGAGATCCAAAAATAAACCGATGCCTGTTTACGGTTATGCAGATCGAACCACTGGCCTTCTTAACAACGAATCGACGAACCCTAAACCAGTAACCTTGTTTAAGTACAGGTCTATGCAGAGGGATTTCATCGGGCATGACAGTTGCAGCGATACGATGACCCTAAGATCGATTTCGCATAAGATAAAGTGTAAAAATCCAAAAGAAAAATTGCTTTTAAAAACAACCCTCTGAAATATATATAGAAATAACAACTACATAATGAAATACCTGATCGTCAGCGAGAATCATCTCAATTGTATCACCAAAGAAATTTACATTCTTCCAGAGTCAAACAACTTGCACACGAACTTCACCGCCGGTTGTGTAATAATCTAACCTAGAGATATCAACAACATCAGACATTTTTTTTTCTCTCTCAAGAACACAAAAAGAAAAGTAAAAAAAAGAAGTAAAGAGAACACATATATATACGCGTTACATTCTAGACAGTTATTTCCTTTTTCAACCCAATAAATTTATGGAAACATACAACATTGAATATGTATTATTAAAATAAAGATTAATTTATTTATAGGTTTTATTTTAAATGACAAAATTGTCTGTCAAAGGCATCTTTTCATCCGTTATTATATTTTTTCGAGACATTAGCAGCATGCAATATGTGAGAGAATAAAATCTAATTGCATTTGGTTTACTAAGCATACACGCAAGCGAGATACGCGAGCATACCGAGTCAAAAATAATCAAAAAATATAATAGTTTCTTCAGTATACAATCATCACATCAAGCTAGTGCATGCCACAAAATTCTTCTATTTAATCAATTAAACCTATCGACAAAATTACAGAATCGTAGACACGCAAGAAATACAGATATATTGAAGATAATTTTCCAACATTATGAATTCTCTGAATAACAATCATATAAAACGATTGTATTAAATGGAATCTTAAAAGTAAACTACAAATGAAAAAACTTATATATATGATAAGCGTATAGAAAGTTTGACTGTATATATTGATGATTATGTCATGTATTTATCATTTCATATAACATAATAAATTAAAAAATTATTTTGATTTATTGTTAAATATTTTTCTCATATATAAAATTATCAAGTATATCATCGATGGAACAAACCCAATTCAAATCATGACAATACAACGCCAATCAAAAATATCTCAAGTTTTATTTAAACCAAATTTATAACACCAACGAAAAATAAAAATAAATAAATAGTCTAAGTAATAAATCCTTAATAAAGAAACATAAAAATACGAAATCAAGACCCAATGAATCATATAACGACGTTATACGATCAACATTATGATTTTTTTTCCTTTCCTCGTTGGTCTAGATGATGAATTAGAACCTCCACTGATATCAGCATTCGTCCTTTTTGAGACTGGAGTAGCTGGCGAGATAGGAGAACTTTCGGATTCTTCTATAGAACTTGACAAAGAAATTGGTGCCTACAAACAGGAATATTATCTCAGACAAATAAAGTATAGACTGAAAATCTCATTAATTAATATATCAAAACTCATACCCGTGAATAGACCTGATCACGGAAGATTTCAAATAAATGGTCCTCTGTCGTAAACTTGTCAATAACAAATGAAGTTTTAATCTTGTTAATATTATCATCAGACACTGATAGTCTGAAAAGAAACTCCTTGCCAGATAACTCTCTCAAAGTAGTCAGAAGAGCAGATGAATCATCCTTTGCCATTAAAAAAAATAAAATAAAAAATTAAAATACTACAAATACACGTTAATAAAAGTACAAAACTATATAAAACATACCCCATCTAACTCTTCGTAAACTTCTTCAGCTGTCTTCTTAAGTAACCTTTGAGCATATTAATCAAAAAGAAGAAAGACTGCCAAACCACCATCGCCATCAGTGACATTCAACATAAGGAAAAAGCTACAAACAACAAAAGAAATCAGTTCTCATTATACAATACTCTAAAAATATCATCAATATAAATTTAATACGTTATTCTTACTATATAAAAACATAAGAATGTTTACCAAGCAGTGACATCTGAAACATTTTTCAATCAGTTCACACATTTCCACAAAGGAGGGCTAGTATCACTGGTCTTCTGTGGAATCGGATAAACCTTTTTATTGCAAGTTTTTCATGCAATGTAATACCAACTATTACTATTGCCTATCGAAGTCACACTAACCAATGTCACGTACTTGCCAACCTACAAATCACAATTACATGCCGAACATATCAGAAACATATCAATTAATAAACTAAATAAAAAAAAAGTTACAACAAAAAAAAAGAAGAAGATAAACAAAAGATATACCTCTGCTGGCATTGTGAACACCATCTAACGTTCTCCTATAGATATTATCACCAAAAAAATCCTCCATCAAAACCTCATCAGAATCCTTAGAAGCTTCCTCTTCGACTGGTGTAAGTATAAATCTATCATTTGGCAACCTAGAACAAACGAATTAACAATTGTGAAAATTATGCTAGATGTTTTGTACAATTAACCCAATATATATTAAAAATATTAAAAGGGACATACTCTGATCGAAATCTAGTTGCGTATGTTGTAACTGGATCCATCAAGATGAGAGTCGTATTGAATGCATTCGAAACACTAACCTCACCTATATAAAAAATCACTAATTGAATATTAACAAATAACAACGTTAAGAAAACTATGTCAAAAACGCACCACGATACTCTTTGATGCAAGCAAGTCTGATCAAAATCAAAACAACTGATGCAGAGTTACGCTTAACATAATCAGACACTTGTTTCGCATAATCACCCCAGAGAGTACACTGTAGCTGTAGATCACTTAGATCACTGACACATAAAAAGACTAACATCAAACATAATATTCATATAAGCAAGAAAAAAACAACCCATCAGTCACAACAATAAGGTATGTAAGAGAAGTAATGGGGGATAATTATAACGTTAAAAACAATGAACTGACCTTGTGTCTCTGAGAGATACTTTGAGTCGAAAACGTCGCTTTCCTTGAGCCACAACATTCTCAACATGACCAACACGAATGATCTGACCAATTATATCTAAAAACCAAGATTTATATGTAATACATATATATATATAAACAAAAGAATTAGATTCAAATACAACAAAGGTAATAAAGTATGAAATAACTGAACATACCAATCAAATAACTATTATCAAGATCTTTTGATAAAATTTCGAGGAAACTCTTTAAAAATTTATCAGGAACCTCAGTTGGGAAGTCTTTGCACTTTTCAACAATAGTTGTAGCATAAAAGACGATCTTGTAAAGCGAACGACCGCTTCAGAAGTCACTATTATAGTCAACAACCTTAAAAGTGTTTATAGATATTGCTTGTCCTTCAACCAAATCCTTACGAAAAGTCTTGACAAATTCTTTATCAACAGAAGCATGAATCCTATCACCCTGATAAATAACACACAAAAAATAAATATGAATTAAGAAAAGAATCACGTTACAAACATACTAACAATACCGATTAAGATAATATATATTAATAGTACTAAACACACCTCTCGATCAACTAACACCATCTCGAGTGAAGACCCACCCTTTCCTTTGAAACCATCCCAAATTTTAAGAACCTTAACATTTATCACATAGCTATCTGAAATTGGATTGAGCTCACGAATGAGAACCGAAATCGACGACTTTCTTTTAAAAATTGACATCGAACAAAGACCAAGGAAGTATTAAGACAATGAAGAAAGTTGTAGGTAACTCAATAGAGTACGCATGTATATATATAGTATAAGAACCGCCATAACATAAAATAATTAGGTTATAAAATTTAGTATTTTAAAGATTATAGATAAAGGAAACTCATTGAATATACACCTTTAAAATGAAATAATTTACGATAACACTAAAAATTATAAGAAGAATATTTCCAAATACCTAAAGTAGTTATATAATTTTTAAATTATAGACAATGTAGTATATAGAACAGTGCAAACAGGAATATTTTCATTAATATCACGAAATTCTAAACACACTATAAAAATTATCCTTTAACAAAATAAAGTAATAAACAATAAAAAGATTATTATCCTTCAATACAATAAAGTAATTATATATATATATATGATAATATAGAACAGTGCAAACAGAAATATTTTCTTTAATATTACGAAAACCTAAACACATTATAGAAACTATCCTTTAACAGAATAAAGTAATTAAACAATAAAGAGATTATTCTTCAATACAATAAAGTAATTATATATATATATATATATATATGATAATATAGAACAGTGCAAACAGGAATATTTTCATTAATATAACGAAATCCTAAAAACGTTATAGAAATTATCCTTTAACAGAATAAAGTAATAAACAATAAAGATATTATTATCCTTCAATACAATAAAGTAATAAACAATAAAGAGATTAAAAATTATTTTGACAATGCATAGAGATTTAATTAATATATAATTATTTTGACAACGCATAGAGATTAAATTAATTTATATAATCACTTTCTAATGTAATCACTTTAGGTACTATTCTTTGAGATCCAATAAATTTGAGAATAGTTTAGAATATCAAATCTCATACATAATACTATAATTTAAAATTTGTAACTGGTAGACATTGCAACAGAGACAATAAAATCAAAATTTCTTAATTTAGGAAAACTCGATGAATATTACAAACCATAAAATTTAAATTTAAATTAAGAAATTTAATATAGAAACACTATAAATTCGCGATGTAGAAACAGTTATCATCATCTATTAAGGACTAGATATCAAGTATTTAAATTGATAGGCTTCGAAGCATCGTGAATTCAGAATAACTTGTGTGCAATCATATGATGTAGTAGCCAATATGATTGCAAAAAAAAGGTAGTTATCATATATAATATACATTTAACTCATAACAAAAACTAACAAAATACCTCTTCGAATAATTATTTTCACAAAACGAATGATGCAAATAACGGAATCTTGTTTACATCCTTCAAACTCTCGAAGAAAAGTTGCAGCGTAATCACCTTTCAACAAACACGGTAAACGACGTTTCCTAAAATTCTTATATTAAAGAAAAATCAGACTGATATAAACAGAAATTGTATTTTAGTATACTTATTTTTTATAAAAATATAATACTCGTTTACAAATTACCTTTCATTCTCGAGATCGAATCTTACTATTGAATGTGTAGAACAATCAAAAGATCTAATTCTATCGTGAAAGCTTCCAACATTGACAATTTTACCGATTAAATCTGGTTTTGTAAAAACTCAAAACATCAATTAATAAACAAAATCATACAGTGCCAGCAAACTAAGAAAGATATACTGAATACTCACCGACACAAAAACTAAAATCAATAGTCCCATTCATAATATCTTCGTAAGCGGCAAACGAAAAATAACTATTGATATCTTGCGTATAAGAGCTTGCACATGTTGTATCAACTGTAATCTGGATCATATAAGGATGTGTACTTGTTTTGAACTCACCGGTGACAGGTAATAGGTTAAAATTAATTAAAAGTATCTAGTCTCCCTCCTGACATATGTTAGAATACTTATCATAAAATTCAAATGGTGCGGTAACAGAAATCTTTTGTCCCTGTAAAAAAAAAAATTCAAACATTTAAAACTACAAAAACTAAAACAAAATTGATTTATGGATTTTACCTTCCAGTCGCACATTATAAAATCTAACGTGCGGTCACGTTCAGGAAATCGGTTAAATTTACGCAAGACTTCAACTTCGTTTTTCATATATGATTTGTTGGATCAAGATCAGAAATCCCAAACAGATTTTGATCATATTTTTTATGTGTGGCAATACTTAAGAAATAAGCCATCTAGCAAAACCAACAGCCTCAATAGAAGCAAGACAATTGCTAGCAAAAGTGCTTTGAATAAAAACACCAAGACTATATTATGAAGGTGCCATTGTAATCACATGTGGTTTACTATTTATACACACTTCAGAATAAAAGGATATATTGAATATTCTTCTTTTTTTTCATTACGAATTGTCCATTTGACATTTTTGTTATATCATATTGCCTTATTATAAATTATATAATATTCGGAAAAATAATTGGCGGATAATTAGTATCCACGATGATAAGTTAGTATTATCACGGTATCAACAGAAACACGACATATTAAATAAAAACTTATATCAATTTTATCAATAAAATGTATATATTTTAAATATAGAAACACGACATACTAAATCACAATTCGAAGCTTTAAAAAATAAAACTAATACGTTAAAAACCCTAGATCAAAACTTATGAAAAATATCATTCAGCTAGTCCTGGAGACTGGGTCACCAACAACACGTCGCCTCCATAACTTTTCTCTATGGTCCCAAACAAAGTCGGATGGAACCTCCGAGTACAAAACCACCCTATTTTCCGAGAACTCTTTGTTGCAGTACATCCATGCATTGTATTTAGAATTTATAAGAGGAACACGAAACTCGTCATCATCGGTTATAAAAATCCCAGCTTCTGGACGATTAAAAGGCAATACATTCAAATGAATGCGTCTACCTTTGGCTGCATCTATAAAACATAAGTAGGTTAAAAATACGAATTACTATTATAACTTACAAAAAGATGAAACCCAATAAACACAAATCAATGACAAATTACATATACAATATACCATGTACCTGATGAACTCATTGTATATGGTATTGATGAAGGAAATTGTGTAAATAACAACAATGACGGTACATATATATATAACCAAATATTCCATGTTTTTTTCAGAATATTTACTTTTTTCATTTTTGGTTAACAAAAATTTGAACACGTATATATCAAAACGAATATTCTCTAGGGTATTACAGCACCAAAAAATCTATATAATATTCAGTTGCCACAAATAATTGGAAATTTAACAATAAAATTATTATGATCATTGTAAATATACGATGATGAGTTTTTAGTTACATACATCTACTCGGTATTTAATTTTATTTTACCTATCTCTATAGAGTTACGTAACTAAGAACATATAAAATATTTAAAAGAAAACGTCACAAATAAAATTCTCCAATATATATTTTTGTTGAGTATAGTATCGGCACAAAGTTAATCATAAGATCCACCATCCGAGAATATCCCAAAGAATAACTTCTTTTTTGCTAACTTAAATAACATAATGATTATAACATCGAATAACAAATCATTAAACTATAAAAAAAAATCAAATCAAGTGGTCTAAGAATTAATCGTCAACGATCCTCTTCCATAAGTTCAATAGATTGGTCACTCCAGGAAGACCTGGGTCCAACATAAGCTGCGTACAATTATAAGCCGTCGTAACTATCCAAGAACCTTGTAAAACACAACAAAAAAATATACCGAGGGACAAATAATTAGATGATAAAATGAATTAACTAAAACACACATAGTGTATCAAGAAATTTAAAAGTAATTTTTTCACCTTTCGAAATTTTGAGTTCTGCAAATCGAATGATACAAATAATAATAGCCTAAACGTGCATATTTTCGAATAAGTTTTACTGGAGCAATCAAATTGCGAATCGATGGAGATAAACCAGAAAGATTACGCGAGGTCATTGCAGACACGAAAACGAATAAACAACGTAAATAATGATTCAACGTATACACGGTATAAAAACACTTTATATAATATTATAAGAGGTATATTTACAAAACAAAGTAAAGTTTTCTTTTTTTTTAGAATAGAATAATTCCGATATGATAATATTATACCAGAGAAGAATATTAACAAATACTTATCAACTAAATATAAAACATTTTTTTAAAATGGAAATAAGATACTAAATGTCATAAATATAAATTTTTGGAAATTATCTTGGTAATACATATAAAGAATAAGAAAATAAAATATCACAATTTTTATACATATTATTTTCAAATATTATATTGTTATAACTATAGCAATTTTCCGATTCGTATTAGGAATCCATCGGACGTGGAACATGTGAATCATTATATGTATGAAAGATGTATCAGCATTACCGAATTATATCTAACGAATACTTTACAGGTTTTATAGGCACTACATCATGTCGATCGCTGCTTGTCTTTTAGCATGAAAAACATGACTTTCACCAATGTTTCCGATATAACACCATCAAACCAACTACGACGTATTCGTGTGAAAGTACTACGTATTTTCGAGCACATCGGTGAACCTGACAACACTCTAGATTTGGTGTTGGTTGATAAAAAGGTATTCGGTGACTCCGTATGTTCCGTGCATATCACTTCTCTGATATACACATTTTTGTTTTTACAGGGTGATAAAATACATGGATCAATATCAAAAGGGTTTATAGACAGTTTTACAAAAGAAGTGAAGCAAGGAGATTCAATTATTCTGTATCGTTTTGGTGTAGTCCCTATCATTGGAGACTTGAGACCAACGTTGCACAACTATAAAATAATATGGAATTCTCAAACTTATTTTTCAAAGCTCCCTTTCTATGATAACAACAACTATCTAAGTATTGTTGAATTCGGTAACATACACAGCAATCTCCGAGACCCATTGTTTTTCGTT